CTTCTAAACGGCTCTCTGCCAAAATGTTGGGTTTGCCTTTACACTTGAAAGAGGTGTTCACAATTTTATCTTTACCTTTTAAAATATAACGCATACACAAATTTTAAGTTTGAAACTTCATTCCAGCACATATCCTTAACTAGTGTATTTATAGTTTCACCCACTGAAAAACAAAGGAAAAGTTTGAGCACAAATTACTGTAATTTTGACTTGAAATTTCAAAATGTGACCTTTCCAAGGTGAAAGAGGGAACTGGGGGCTGATGTTCAGCATTTTGACGCTGCAGAAGAGGTTTTTTTCTTGCAAGTAGCCATGAGAGTAGGAAGTTAGAAGGCAGAGCCAGGAGGTCAGACATAAGAGTCAAGGAAGTATGAATGACATCATCATCCCTAAGTACCCTCTCAGAAGATGAATGAGCTCTTTCTTGTATTACAATGCTAAAGAGCATTAGAAGGTGATATGATATCCAGACAACACATAAGATAAATGCCTCGGAGTATGCTAGAACAGCTTCCCCCCCACGCCCTCCACAAGTACATAAATCCTTTGGTGGTCTCAATAATACATGTGGCTGATGAGCATTATATATTGTGGTCAGCTTCTTCTTGACAAAATTCATTTAGATTTAACAAGTACCTTGAACGTTATCTAATTTAGTTACTTAAGCCAAATAACTCAGTGTAACTCTAGATACCCTTTAGCTGACCAGACTCATGGCCCTTTTGGGACACAGAGTGGATTTTTTTCACTAGTTGCTGAATAAAAAGTACGCACATGTCAACAGAAGAAATATCCCATCTTTTTTAAAGCTGGTACAAAATGTGTTTATCATGATAAAACTTGACACAAAATGTTTTTGTCACGATAAAACTTGAAATGCAGGTTTCAGGATCTTAATGAATTCCTTCTGAAGGGAATGCCTGCCACAAACAAAACATGAACATTTGCTGTAATGTGGGTTCAAGGTACACCCTGTCAGAAGTGGATTCGGTCTGAATTTCAGTGTTTCTGCTTCCAAAGCACAGTCATTCCTGTATGATTTATATAATCTTTCCTACAGTAATTTTGGAATATGCAAAATTGCGGCAGACTTCACTACCCAGTCTCCTCTTGTGCTTATGTAAATACCCCTTAGTATTTTCAGGAGGAAAATTTGATTAAAATATTTAATTGCATTTCTGTTTAAAAAATTTAAGAAGTAAAAATCCCTAGTAGAAAATCAGCTTCAGTTTGAAATAAAAATGGACTCTGGATCGATGGTGTGTAGCTGCATGGAGGGCAGAATTCTGATGCATCATATTTATTCACTAAGACAATCTTTCCTCTTTTCAATATTTTCTCAGTTGTTATTTTTATAGAAATAGAATGATGCTCATTTGAAATAAAATGCAAGACAAGACGACCCTCACATTAGCTCTAACTAAGTGCTGCAAAGTCTTTATTCTAAGCCAAAAGCTGTCAGACTTTTAGCATTAATAGAAGAATGGATCTTTCTTGACAAATGCCCCCATAAATTAGATATTAGCTTTAGTCAAACTCTCTCTCTCTCAGGAAATATTTCCACTTGCATATTCAATTGGAAGGACCTTACATGATGCCCACTTACTGCTATGAAAATCTAGGCTTCTGACATGAAGGCAAAGAAAAATTTCTGTGAACAAAAGAATATCTGGAATAACAGACCTTGAGCTTATGCAGAGATTTCTTTTTATAGAATGTGAGTTTCACTCACTTCTTCGTATGTCTGTCTGCTGCTCTGTCCACCTATCTATCTGTTTATCTATCACCATTGCAGTGGTAACATGCAGTATCAATTGGATTTTAAAAGACATAGATCTTTTATATTAGCTGTCCTTTTTTATAATGCCTTTTACAAATTTAATCAATGCATTTTAATCTACAATATAGTTTAAGTGCAATATACAATAAATATTCGAGCTTCATCTTAAACATGCTCTAGCCTTTAAATTGTTAAAACTGCAGTGCCCTTTCAATCTACTTACATAATGTCATAAAATATACATTTCAAGGTAAATGAAGTCAGCTACTTCAATTTAGTCCCTCAAACTGGTAGTAAATGAGAGGTTAACACTATGGTGCCAAACCCATTATTGAGTAAATTTAGCACCTTGGACAGCTCTGTAAAATCTTTATTGCTTTCCTGACCTGCTCGTCATGTTCTGTCTATGTGTTCAGTGGCTCTCAGCTCTGATTGAAAGGCAATATATTAGATCCCGAACACAAACATGCTCGGGGGCTGCTTCACTGTGAGCGTAATGACATGGAGGTGAGAACAATTTTCTGGTCACCGCAATCCAAGCACCTTGCAAGGTCTGTTGCTCTAACTTATAGAGGACTTTTGGGGCTCCTTTGTATGTGGAGTTGTAACAGGAGCTTCTATGGTAATTTAAGCAGAGCTGCAAAGTGTTTAAGATGCATTCAGAAAACAAGAAGTTAATATCTTAAGCGTGTCTGTAGTAGCATTTTATTGTGTATTTTTAAAGCTAGTTTGTGTCTATAAGAACTACCGTCAGCTCTGGAATAGAAGATACCACTGTTTGACACAGGAGCTTTTGTGTAACATTTACTTCATATGATCTGAAAATGTCATAAACAAGAAATGCTTTTATTGTGTGAAAATATTGTTAGAGAAAGTATAAAAAATTTACAGACTCTGGAAATGTTGAAAAAAAAATAACCATTGACTAGCTAGGAAAACTGAATGCTACTTGTCAAGCATATTTCAATAAACCATCATGACAATTAGTTTTATTTACATGCAATATGATATGGCATCAAAGAACTTCCAGTGTTTACGAACTGGAATATATTTGATATTAGGTAAAGCAGCTGTAAGATTCCATGTAATTACCTCATTTTTTAACATGGTCTTCAATCTCTTTTTAGATGCATTCTAAGGTTTTTAGCTCAGCCTTACATAAATAACTATGATTAGTCAGGTAGAGCAGAAGTGACTACTTAAACTTCCTTTTTTTTAGTAATTTGGCATAATGACAGCTTAGGCTAACAATATTCCAAAGCAGTTTGTGGGCTCCTTATCACATTCTAATTTTCCATCAGTGAAATATATAGTGCAAACAATTTCTACTGAAGTGAAATAAATCCTAGTTTGCAAAGTCAAACACCTGTGCAGTAATTTTCCACCTAAAATCATGGATCGAAAAAGATAATATTTTCCAGTAATGTCTCTGTTCTTCTCTAGTTTGTGTCTTCAGTAGAAGGCAAAAAGGGCAACTCAGTGTTCTGGTGATTCTGGTAAAGCAACAAGGATTGATTGTACCTGGGTATTATTTGTAGTCTGTCTGTCCCTGATTGTATTGCAAACTGTTGTGGTCAAGGCACACAAAAAAATCCAAAACAGCAACCATGACAGAGAGGGGAAAAAAAAAAACCAAAAACAAAACAAAAAACCCACCAGAAAAAGGCTGTAGCAACTTAACTCCTCAGAATCTGTTTCAAATGTAGTGATTTAAAAAGCCATCAATTACATATTAAATCTCAATTCATATGTGGAAAATAATTTAAATGTGTGTTCTGAGAGAGGGGTGTGTGCAGCAGAACGCAAACCTAAATGTTTACTGGGAGTACAAAAATCCTCCATCTCATTTTTGAATTTAGGACATTATATATGTCATAAGTAGTTACTGCAGTATGACAACTATTTTATCTTATATTATAGAGAATTTAAAATTGAAAAAAATGCTAATATGCATCTAAAAGCTTGTCATTTGAAGAGTTGTTCAAGGATTTTTGAAGAGGTTATGGTGACAGCAAAATGAACGCAATTATATCTCTATTTTCTGATCACAGTCTACAGTATATGAAAATTGAGCATTACTGTTTCTTTTTGGTATAAAATATGGCTATTGTGTAAAATATTTTAAGTTTAAAAGTTTAACTTTGTAGAAAACTGTAAAAACCTTAGAACTGGTACTATTTTTGTAAGCTACCTGCAGAAATATACTGTGGTGAATAGCATCATGTTAGTATGTTACAGCAATACTTAGGGGATGGGAATTAGAAAAATATATTGTTTTACTCAAAGGACAGTCTTGACTGGTTTTGATCAGACAATTGGGAATTTGCTAGATGCTTTGAAAGAATAAGAAAAAAAAATCTTCTGGGTTAATTCTGCAATGCATTTTTACATTTTCTATCAGGATTGTTCATACAGATTTTTCCACACTGTAAAATGTAAGAACACAAGAAATGCTATTACTACTTGAATGCCAGTTTAAAATACTCTAAAAAATATTAAGTGAAACAGAACAAATAGGAAAATGTAGAAAAAAATTTTCCCCAGAATGGGGAACTAAATCCCAGATTATTTTAAATTCTGCTGTCCACGCAGAGAATTTTTCCAGGAAACACTGCACCGTACGGGGCCATTCTCTCACACAGTGTGTGTTTTCCTCTTGTGCATCATTTTGTGTACATGGGTCCTACCCTGACCCTTCATATCAGGATACAAACCAAAGAAGTTGAAAGGTTACATTACCATCAGCATAGGACTGATTGGATATCTTTTGAACGTGGCCTGCTGGGTAAGGTCACAATTCCTGCAGTATGCAATTAAGAATAAAATAAACACATCGAAGGGATTCATAACATGCTCTGAATGACATTGATTGCAGTAATCTAGTAAATGACCTCAGGATTGTATTCTGCAATAAACCAATGAGTGGTTTATAGTGCAGATGGTAGAGACAATTGAGTGATGTATTTTATTTTGCAGCGCCAATGATTCTCACCTTTTGACTTGATTAAGTGTGTGTGTGAATAGGATGAACTAGTGATTTAACACCATTCAGTGGTTGCTGGGAGTTGTTACAATTAAGGTGTACCTGGTGGGAGAAAAAAAAAAAAAAACCACAAAACATGGTGCAACTAATAGAGGAGTATGAAAGATTCTAATATTTGTTTTCCCCCACAAGGAGTTTATTGAACTCAGAGGAATGCATCTGTTTTTATATTGACAGGAAGTAATACTTAAGAGGGCTGCCGATTTAGTAGAAGCACTCTATGGTATGCCACATAATAACCAGGTAAATGCATTCTACTTCAGCAATTCTAAAACATGGCTATTTCTTAGATGTATAGATAGATCAGGGGCTAAAGGTATATGATACTACAATGTGAGACAAGAAGAAATATAGAGGGCAATGTCGCATCTGGAGCGGGGTTTAGTTTGCTTGTTTTCTTTTTTAAAGGGTGTGAATTTACTGCTTGTAAAAGCAACGTGTTATTAACCCTGGAGGCATTTGCCCACTTTCACCAGATACAATATAATATGGGCAATGATATGCATTATGTCTTGCCACCAGTGATTTTTCAATCTCACCCTAAAGACAGCTTTAAGGTGGAGTAAGTCTAGGCTCCAGCCCCATTCTGCCGGTTGGTCTTGTTATACAGAAGCCTGGCCTCTGGGACTGAAACTTCCAACTCTCTTACCACCGGCGTCAGGGTTTATCACAAAGACAGCAGATCTTATAGCATTACCTATCAGTCAGCCAACTGGTTTAGAAAGAAAAGCATCTAGTTTTGCCCTTGGACAGAGAAGTGTTTCATTTTAGTGTGTACGAAAAGGTTTGTCAGAGTCACGTTGGTAACTCTTCTATTCTTTTTTTCCCTTCTTATCCTCTAGGAAATAATCCTGAAAAGAGCAGCAGACATCGCAGAAGCACTCTACAGTGTCCCCCGCAATCACAACCAGCTCCCCGCCCTTGCTAACACGTCAGTCCATGCAGGAATGATGGGAGTGAATTCCTTTAGTGGTCAACTAGCTGTCAATGTTTCCGAAGCCTCACAAGCCACCAATCAGGGTCAGGAGAAGCCTCGCCTTCCTCTCTCTATGAACCTTTTCTGATAAAAGTCAGGGAAACATGCAGAGCAGTGACAGAGCGATGATGGTTCAGAACTGAAGGCTTGGAGCCCGGCTAGGCAGGCGCTACCGCACACGCATGCACAGCTTCTGAGTGGCACAGCACTGGTGGGGTGTTCTTTAGTGACTGTTGCCCCATTTTGGGAAAAGCACTTCTGCATATACCTAAATAGCTTTTCCTTCTGCTCAGAATAGCACTTGTATTTGTCTTTAAATCCCACTAATTTTAAAAGGATTTCTATCGACTTGAGCGTGTACTTAATCTTAAGTACTTGCTTATCTATTTTCGTGAGCATGGATGATCTCTCAGTCTAGGCCTGATGTAGCATTTCTTTATAACACAAAAGTATCCCTTGAATATTTGTCTATTCGGTTTTGTTTGGTTTTGCGAGAGACACAATATTGGCACTGATTGTTTTGCAGAGCTTGAGACTTTTCTATATTTTGAAACTAGCAATAGAAATATTTGCAAAGACATTTTCAGAGCTTCTCTAATTTTTAAAATAAAGTGCTTTTCACTTTGTATAAAATCAATATTGTTTTAATTCCTATAGTTAAAAATAATAAAAAAAACCCCTAAGAACATTTTTGTAAAAACCCTTTGCTTTTTCCCCTCTCCTTTGCTCAGCTCTACTTATTATCCAACTTAAAAATCCACTTCAATGAGAAAGGATTACAATGAGGCTGTTTTCCAGAAGGCCAGACAAAATTATTTGGCATTACACTAAAAAAATAAAAAATATTTTTTAGATCAAAGTATTTTATGGATGTACTGTGTGGTAGGAAGAGCAGTTGGCATTTTTTCTTCTAGGGGTGAAGATCCATTTTGTATTTCTGTGCTTCTAGAAGCCAGTCTTCCTTTCTGGGTATGAGTTTCCCCAAAGATCATTTCCAGAATTAGACAGAGATTCTCATTTTAATTTGGTGCCAAATTTGGTAGTCATTTTCTACCAACATAATCATCAGACCGGGGCAAAAAGACTAAGGATATCCCACTACTTTGAGAAACATACCCTACGTTTTCTGAAGTGTGCAGTGAGCATCTAATTTCAGATGCATTAAATGAGGGCGACATCAGAGGGGAGTTAAGAAAAATCACATGCTTTTAACATACCTTGAGTCGGTACGTGCTCCTCACTTTGAAAATGTAGGTCACGTTTACTCCATTTCCTACAAACATCTCTTTTAGATTGGGTATTCCTGTAACACCCAACGGGAATCTTCGCTTGAGGGCATGGGTTGCCTGGGGAGCTGTGAAGGCTGTAGCCTCCCTTCTCCCCTTCTGCGGTCCCATCAGCAATGTCCTAGGCAGTGAGGGTTTGGGTTCCCTTGTGCCCAGTGGTCAGTCCTGGCCCTCCCCAAGCACACCTTGGCTGGACTAGGCTGCTGGCTTGGTAGCCCAGAGTTACTTGCTTGTAGCTGTTTGTGTGAGAAGCTGTTCTTGGGCTAATACCAATTTCTAAATGTATTCCCTCCCCACAAAAGGTTTTACTCGCAACTCAAGCAGCGTGTCACCTCATGGCTACGTGCCAAGCACCACCCCTCAGCAGACAAATTATAACTCTGTCACAACAAGCATGAATGGCTATGGGAATGCTGGAATGTCAAATTTAGGCGGTTCTCCAACCTTCCTGAATGGATCTGCTGCCAATTCTCCCTATGCCAGTGAGTATTATATGACTTTTCTGTATTTTGTGCATTTTCATTAGAAGGAGATGGTGACTTTTCTGTGATACTCAATATTTAGTTTCTGTTTGAAGCACTTAAAACAGGACTTGGTCCTTCCTTTCCTCTCCAAGACACTGACCTTTGAAGCACTTTGAAGGCACTAGAGTTGCCAGCAATGCTCTTCTCTGTTTCTCTGCTGGTATTATTATTGTTGTTTTTGTTGTTGTTATTATTATTATGAAGTCTCATAACTGCTTAAAAAGAAAATCTCTCTCGTGATCTGGTCTGATAAGTTTCATAACTTACCTTATACTCTGTAAATAAGAAACTCTTCTCAATATTGCTAGAAAGCAGGGATGGCCTAAGTGACTTAATGTCCTTTGGAGGGGATCAAAAGTCTGTTGTCAGTAGACAATTTTTTCTTGCAGTGGGTGTGAGAGGAAGGTAAGGATATTTGCTGCAGGAAAAATAGGTTTTTCCAGCTGTAAGATATGAAGGGCAGAAAAGTTTACTGTAATAAGACTGACATTTCCATAAGCTGCATGATGATGTTTCCGAGACCTCTGAGCAAATAATATGTTCATAACCTTTATAGAAATTATGAATTACTATTGGGCCTAATCTTGATTGCTTATACCCCATTTGCTTTGTAAGTAGGTATTATATTGACTTCACTGAGAGCTTAGTGTTAGTCAGTAAAATGTGACAATGGCTCTTAGAGTTTGTGTTTTAATGCCTGTGCAGTGAATGCCACAAAGATGTAAGTCATACAAATCATATATTCCATGGCGTACAGAGCTTATCATCTACAGTTCCAGTTATGGAAATATTTATGCCTAGGACTAACTTTCTGCATTTTGATATGAAAGGTTTAGTAACCTGTTTAAATATAACTACATTTCTATTGGTAAAGGCCTATGAACCTCTTCTGCAGCCACTCACATAGCTCAGTAGTCCCTATTCACATAAGGAAATTAAATTAATAGGACCTGCCCAATTCCTCTGACATTACTCATGTGGCATAAAGGGTTTTGCTGACATCTGTACAGAGCTGCTTGCAGAATCAGGCCAGAAGGTCTTGTCATATAAATAGGTTTATAGGCTGAGACCCTAGCATGGACAGGACAAACAGACTGGAGAACACATGAAGGTTTATGCAGCAAATCTTAAGTTGAGTTGTGTAACAGCAGTAATGAATTACTTCGAATTGCATTGCTAGAGTTCAGAATTTAAAAGGGGATAGTAACCCTGATTTTAAAAAATTACCTCCAAGGCTTCTTAGCTGTTGCAAATTTAGAAGAAAATATTTAGGCACATAACTAGTACTTGTAACCTGGGAATTGCTAACCAGTTATTATTTTTGTACTCTAATAATAATGTAACAAGTAATGTTACAAAGTACCTTACTTATTAAGTTGAATTTACTGTCATAGAATCTGTGCACTCTGAATTCATAATATAACATGATTGATGAGACATCTCTTTTTGGAAGCAGATGCCAGTAATGCATTTTAAAATACGCTAGCAGTGTATTATTTCATATTTATGAACGAAGTCCTCTTTAGAATAGCACTTAACTCCCCAGCCACGATTCTCTATTCTGGTTATATTTTGGGAGGTTTTCTTGGTAGATCTGTCATTCTGCTAATGCCTAATCCATTGAATCAGAAAATGCTTCAATCATGACCTGAAAATTAAAAGGTGGCATTCTTAATTAAATCAATAAACTAATTGCTGTATAGTAGCAATTCAATTTAGGTGCTTTGATTGCTCTCCCTTAGCAAGTACTTCCAGACACAGAGTGACTTCAGACTAAGATTGTATCTGTCAGACTGTGAAACTTTGAACATTTAATTTCCATTAATTGATTTCCTCAGTGTTAACAAATATGATATCAGGTTCCCAAATAAGAACTTAAATAGGGTGATTTTTATCTACATAAATGCAAATAAAATAATAATTCAGAGCCCAGATGATAGGAATTTTACTCTATAATATGTAATTATTCATAGCCCCCTTGTGTATATAAGCAGTTTCTAAACAGGAGGAAGAATGAAAGTATGGGTTGGTCCTTTCATTTTTTTGTTGGATTAGAGGGGAAACTGGTGATGCTGTCTGAATATAGAAGTAGTTGGCTTTATTTTCATGAAAACAAATTTACTTAAAAACTCAATGATAAATACATGAAACAAAGATCCTTATCCCACTATACAGTAAAATAACAGTTTAAGGATATATGCATTTAAAACCTGAACCTCTTATATAGCCAATTTATGTTTTGGACAATCAATTCAGCCCCTAAAATAAAAAAGAAAAAAAAAAGAGAGCCTTATGTCTGTGCTTATTTGGAAAAACAGAAGACTCTCATTTTATTCAGTCTTGTAGTTAAAGCCAGATCTTCATTTGATGTAAACCAGAATGGCTTCATTGCTTGCCTATTGCAGCTGAGATGCCAGTCAATGGCTCTGAATGAGAATGTTGTATTGACTGTGTTCAGACGGCGGCCGCAGGTCTTCTGGGAGAATTATTTGTCATGACCATTATAAAACAAGCTTTCCTTTCAAAATTCTCCATCTTGGGTGAGATATGAAATGCCACTCCATTCCTGTGCATAAATAAAATGGTCACATGAGGAATATGACTGGTTTTCATGTCACTGAAAATTCCTGGGGAGTCCGCACAGCAGAAAGTTTTCCAAAGTTGATGGACAGGGAAGCTGGAGACTTGGTACTAGTAGCTATAACACAGAAAGCATCTGTGGCCATTGTGGGAAAGGTTTAGTGGTTTCTCCCATTGGGAGGTAAAAGAGAAGCATGATTTCTGTCAGTTATCCACACTTTTTTTTTCTTGAACAGACAGTGGAAACACTAGTGCCAGGAGACCAGAGGAGTAAAAAATTGTCAGAATGGCCATCTCTCTGGTTGCTTTATGCTGGCCAGCCTCTGTATGTGTGTGTGTGTGTGCGCGTGTGTGTGTGCATTTACAGCTTTTGGAATAACTCCTTTTAAACCCTCGTTCTTGCAGGGTTTGAGAGAGGAAAGAAACCCAAACACTTTTGCTGATTTTTGACAAGGAGGTTGACTGGGTCACCTCTAAGACCTCTCTACCTTCTGCAAGTTTGCTTGAAATCTTTCTGGACCCAGCTTGCTACAAGAAAAGCACAGCTTAAAATGCTGGTTTTGGAGGCCAGTTAAAAACTCAAACCTTTCCAAGTTAAAAATTCCAGATCCAGATTTGTACTTTAACGACTCTCCTTGCCCATCAGTTTTGTAACCCCTGAGTTACCTACACAGTCTGGATTCCCTCTTCTCCACCTACACAAAAGCATTACAAATTCAGACCAGGGCAGTGGCTAATGCCAATCGCTAGAAAAGTTTAAAACAGGATGGCAGGACAGGGTTGTTGTAAGAATAAAGAATTGCAGTGACAGAGAATTCAGGGAGTGTTCAAGAGCTCCTAGAATTACTGCTCCTGTGTGCCTGCAAAACAAAACAAAACAACATGTGGGTTTCCTGTGGTGATTGGTCACACTTTGTGAACAACCAGAAATTTAAATGCAGTAAAGGCCTTGGACATCTGAAATTAGACCCAGTGCACCCAAGAAGCAAAATTCTCTTGTTTCTGCGGCCTGCTGATTATCTCATACTAAGGAATGCCTTTTGGGGGGTCTTTTTTTCCTCTAGTTGTGCCATCAAGTCCGACAATGGCCTCCTCCACTAGCCTCCCCTCAAACTGTAGCAGTTCCTCTGGGATTTTCTCCTTCTCACCAGCCAACATGGTCTCAGCGGTGAAACAGAAGAGTGCTTTTGCGCCTGTTGTGAGACCGCAAACTTCTCCTCCTCCCACCTGCACCAGCACCAATGGCAATAGCCTGCAAGGTAGGTGAAACCAAGTCTGGAGCACAGATGGCTGCTCTCAAAACTGTGAGTTCCCGGTGCCTTGAGAGGCTCTGAGCGACACTGAGTTGTCAAAGGGGATAGAAGACAAGGGGGGATCCCTGGTGGTCTCTGTCCTAAAGTTTCCTCCTGTAAAGAGTAACTGGATTCCACCACCAGCCCACCTAGTACCATGCAGGTGTTTGGCAACCACCCTATCTCTAACTCGACTAATACTGCTGGATTGAGAGGCTGTGTCTTTTAAAGCACAGACCTACTGTTATAATAAAAATGAGTAATATTTCAGCTTACTAATACCATCCTTTTTCTTTCTTTCCTCTCTTATTCCCTGTTGTCGTCCTTTATCAGACCAGTCTTTTGTGGACTCTAGCAAGTACTCCACTGCAGGGTCTCTCCAGGGGCTGGCCTTCTCCTGAAGTACGTCACTCGATCTTCCCTTCCTTTTTTTCCTTTGTCATAGTACACTTGTGCAGAAATCCTACTGAGAGCAAATAGACCATTACAGAGCTTGGCACAAACCTTTGCCTTTCATAAATAGAAGACACATTACAAACTAACAGCAGCATTTTCCAGTTTAACTCATACCAGGGCAAACATTAGTTTCCACTGATTAATGTACTTATGTGCCAATTTAATTCCATAAATGACGCAGGGCCTTTTTGAAAGCCTCTTCAGCTGTTGGTATCAAGGGGCTGCTCCTTTTCTGCATCCCTTCCCCTCTCATTACAAAGTATTCCAGCATTAGCACCTAAATCTGTTTCAAAGCGTTGATGCAAGCCGAGGGAGTGACAGACAAAAGCTTGTCCAACTGAGGATGCTGCAATGACCAGCACTGCCTGTTTCATTGCTTGGTTCAGCCTGTTTTACAACACTGTGCCTAAACCTTCCTGGGTCACTACCTCACTACGCGTTACTGTGCCGAGAGAGACGTTTTCATGCTCGCTTAGTCCAAGGAGTTTCCATAAGCAGATGCAGCCAGCTGCCTCCAACTGTGCCAGAGGTGGGAAAGGTTTTGCGGTATGCGTTGTGCTTCCCCCAGACCTGAGGTCTGTTTTCCTTTCCATGTGCCTGTGCAAATTATCCAAAAAGCATCGAGCAGGGAATAAAATCCTTCATTTTTAAAGCCGTGTCCAGAAGGAGCTGTGCAGAGCCAGGGAGGATGGTTCCGCAGACTCCACATGTCACTCTATGGCCTCTGGAAAGAGAAACACTGGGCTTGCAGGCATAATGCTGATAGCACCATTAAAAGCCAAAAAAATCTATATGCAGGCAGAGTAGGATGAATTCATTCATAAAAGCTGGGCTCTGTTGTGACTGAAGGAAAGCGTTGTCCACAGTGCATTTTACACTGGTGAACTGGGAGGAGGAATCCTTGCAGATGTACCCACAGGCACACAGGAATTGTGATAATACTAGGAACGTGGGTACCTTCAGCCAGGACCTTGTTATAAATACAGACTGCATCAGGAATAAAACACAACAAAGTTTTCAGATGAGCTGTAGTGTTCAGATTATTTTTTGTGTGTTTTAAAAAATCTAGCACTGCCAACATGCTACAAGCTTTAAAGGCACCAGCTAAAAATGCTTACCTCCACATGAAAACAATGAAAAAGGAGCTAGGAGTTGACTGCTAGAAGCTTTTGAGTAAGTTAATGTTTTTTTCTTCTCCTCACCTTGTCCCAGCCTGCTGTTGCAGGTGGAGGGAAAAAGCAAGTAACAGGAGAAAGCTTTTCCAGGCACTGTTTTTCCTTTCACAAGAGGCAGAATTCCCAGATTTCACATATTCTGTTATGAAAAGCAATTATGGAATGAGCTGAGAGTACCGGACGCAACTGGGGCTTGCTGATTGCCGCCTCATTATGTCACATCCAGATCTGTAATGCCCAGAAACCACACTGATCCGAGTGTTTCCCCTTCTTGGTGAGTTAAAGACACACAGCCTTTAGTCCCAAGCCTTCTGACACCACCTGAGGCTTGTAATAATCACTCAGAAATGCACTGCCTGTTGTTCCTTATTGCTTAAATAAACAACCATGTGTAAGGAGCCTGCCTGATCTCTCTTGGGCTTCTGGATACATCAGAAAGCAATCAAGCTTTCCTTATGTAGCTTAGATATCAGAACTCACGAAAACAACAGCTAGGCTTATTTGTTGTTCTCTTTGCCATGCAATTTTGTAAAACTCAAAATACTTTATTTCTGTAATTTGCTAGCCGTAAATACAAATTAGTGTATGATAGAAGAAGCAATGCCCATTGGTGGGAGTTTTTCTACTCTCTGCCCTCCCTTTTTGGAGCAGATGTGATCTCATACCTACAGTGTTTCCCACTGATATCTCTGTTTTCAGGATCAATAGCATGCTACAGTTGAGAGAATTTGCATGAGTAGATGTAGCACTTACAGAACAGAAGCAGAGCAATAGTAGAGCAATATATGTGAAGACTTGGAAAGAATGGAAATATCAAAGACTTTAGGCAGAAAAGATATGATTTTGCCATTTGCCTTGTAATTTAATTCAGAATCTCAGAGCTCTTCAGAACCAATAATGCTTTGAAAAAATGAGCATCTGTACCATTTGTTTCCAATGTCAGAAGGTGCATGGCTGATGTGTAACTATAGGGAAATGTCTAAGACATGAAGGGAGGAATTGCAATTATGTCACCTTGTTTGGGCTATTACCCAGGGCAGAGAGCTGCGCTGTCCCAAGAGAGAGGCAATTCTTGACCATTTCTTGTTGAAATCAATTTGGGGTTGATGAATCTTCTAGCTTGAGAATTTTTTGTTGGAATAACGTTTTGACATTTTCTGAAGTGTAGGTATTTTTTCTAAAGCAAAACACCTTGTTTTAAAGTTTAACTATATTTAGAATTTAGAAAGGGCTGAAAAGGATAAAAAAGGTTAAAGTGGGATGCACAGAGGATTAATTATCCATCTGACTCTGCTCAGTTGCATTCATCACATATAGGAAGACTCTACCCATTCCCATCTGCTCAACTCCTTGCTTATCTGAGCAATAAAGGAGGGAGCACTGTTGTCAGTATTGCTTTTCTCCGCACCGCAACATACGGCGCTGATGTCCAAGCACCGCAGTCCCACCCCTATATTCTGCTAAATGACTGCCATCCAGAAATCTGCAAGTGCTTTACTAATAGGGATAAAAATGATTATCCTCAGGTAAGAAACAGAAACAAATCAAATTGTTTGATGTAATACAATGAGCTAAAAGGAGAACTGGGACAAAACCTGTGTCTCAGGTCCATGCCCTTGTGAGTCTTTTCTATATTCATATAGGGAAAAATTACACTTTCACCCTTAGCTGTAGGTGATGCCTTGCAGGGCTGCCACAGCAGAATTACAGTCTGGTTGACTGTATCCATCGCTGTCAATACCTATTTTATTGATGCCATAGAGGTCCGTGGTTCAGGGTCCATACCCTGGCCCACACTCTAAGGATCTCAAGGGCAGAGTAGGGAGCAACCACAACAGTGAGAGCATCACTTGGCCTGTGTTTCCTTCATCTTTAGTGACAAGAACCAAAAGGACAGCCCAATCGTGAGAGTTCAGAACTTGTTATTTGAGACACTGCTGAAATAAAACCCTTTGAGATATTTTTTTTAAAACAAAGCTGCTGTTGTTTCACCCACTGTTGATTAAATTGGCAAGGATTCTAAAAAAAAGGCAATATCGACTTCATCCTATGATTTGAGATGAAGAAGACAGCATAGCTATGGAGATAATAGGGATCAAAATGCGTCCTGAGTTTATCTCCGTGGTAGAGCCAAAAAAAGCCCATGACAGGAAATACCTTAGCAAGGAACATCTAAGACGTGGTGATGTCCTCTGTGCTACTCACTTGAGTGTCTTTCTGTAGGGTTTAAAGCAACTCAAGTCACTTCTCTGTCACTTTTATCCTCATTCTCAGCTCCTTGAAGAGCCCTTATGCGAAGCGAAACAATCAATACCATGATCCCACATAAAAACATTGCTGAATGATAAATTCCAAGAGCTGAAATGCTGCTGTATAGTTGCAACATGTCACCGCTGAGGATGGCCTGTTGCAAACATGTGGCTGTGTTTTGCATTCTTGCCTTCTCCTCTCATTTTATTTCATTTAATCAGTGCAGTTTACTCGAGCTGTTCTCCCCTTGCTGATTAGACTTGTAATTCTTGCACATATGGTGGTGTTTGTGGAGAAAACATTTCCCTCCTCTCCCCCTCCAACCCCAAATCTGTGAGTCTTTTACTTTGGCTCTGTTCTTATCAAATAATTGCAGCTGTAATTAAAGCACAATGAATCAGCACCAGTCGCAGGGTTGAGTTCTTCCTTAAGAAATTACATGTCCAGATGTCTGAGATGGCAGGCAGTTCTAGCATTTAAATAACGTGCCCATGAAGTGCTGCCAACCTGAAGGTGAATCTGTTTTCTACCTTTTGGCAAATAACCATGCAACTGGTATTTTAAAGAGGCATTGTTGTTACAGTTTTCATCATAAGCTTGCATGACTACGTCCTGTAATGATGTGCTTGCTCACAGTATATCCCTTGGACACTTGGTATGTCTGATCTGCATAGAGTCCTTGGTAAACAGAGAGAGACCAAGCTGGAGGTCAAGCTAGGTGGAAGACTGTACCCGTTGACGTTTACTGAATGTCTCCTCTTTAAGAGAGGTGGTGTTTTCATAGAAAATGATGTTAAGAAGCATCATAAAGAAATACTGATGATTCAACTTAGCCAACAAAAGAGAAGACATTCTAAATGAACATTAACATACGACTCACCTAATGTAGTTGGTGATGTCTGCTACAAGTATAATAGAACGATGAAACACCAGTCTGCTAAACCACCAGTTAAGGACATATTTAAATTTGAAAATTGAATTTGGGAGTTTAAGTCCTTTCTGAGCACCTGGAAATGCATACATAAGTAAGTCCCAGGCTGAACACTGAACTTGTAAGAGAAAACTGGCATAGGAGAACGAAGCACCCTTAGTGTGCCTAACGCAGCTTCCACCCCGCCAGATCGGTCACAGTGCTGGGCTATGGGACTCCGGCTGTTTTCTCATATGCGGAGCAAGCATCTGCTTTGCTTTTAAAAGAGTAATAGAATGTGTGGTGATGGCTGGGTCAGGTTTAAGCCTCCTGAGCGTTTTGAGATTTTCAAACTAAAATCGCAAAATTAAGTTGGGGTCTGATTCTGATATCGGGGGAATTGCACTTTTTCTGCAAGAAAGGCACTGATTTCAGCAGAGTTACTTGCAATTTAAACCACTTTCAGATCCGAATGAGGCCTCCCATGGTTACTGTGTACATAGTTGTCTCTACTGGGTGAAACTTATATAGAAATTGAATTCACAGCATGGCTGAGTACATTGCTAGTAAATGTTTAAAAGCTCTGAGGATTTTAAAAGTTGCTTGTTAA